TGAAGATATTCAACTTTTTCTTTGTGGAGTTACTTACTGGACACCCTATATACAAAAATCAAATATGAAAATTTAAATATTTCAGTCTTATCAATGCATTCCACTACTACTTTTAGTAAGAGAGCTGAAACTTTCAGAAATAAAATATCTTAATTGGACATACGTGATAAAAAATTCAGATCTTTCATCGAACAAAAGTATGAAAAAAATCACTAACAATTTAAAGATGCGATATTTATTAAACATCTTTTACACGTGTGGAGTGTTCCTGAAAAATGATCTCGATCTCCATACTTTCTATGTCTAAAAAGATTTTAATTGTTATCTCAGGCCATTTTCAGTGATGAGGGTGTGGGTGTGGGTGTAAGACGACGTGATTGTGGATCGGTATGGGTGTGCGTCTGTGGATGTGGATCTTGTGCTTAGTCACAATCGAAACCCATCCACAGTCACATCCACGGCGACGTCTCAACTCACACCTGAGTTCGAACTCGAATTTATCAAACTTTCTCACTAGGAACTGAAACCACTGGATCCAAAACTTTCTTACTAATAACTGAGGAGCTAGTAATAAACGCACTATAATAACTGTTAACATAGGTCTTTCAAAAACTTGTTTTCAATTTTCGAATACAAAATTTCGTATTTCTACAGTTTATTCATCTAGTCTAATTCTAAAGTATGATAGTCCTGTGATGAGTTTGATACGGATCATTTTTTTCCTGACCCAATACAACGAGTAAGGTGTGTTCTTTTATGGTTTGTCATAATTTTAAACTATTTGAATTTTCGTTTGATAATCAATTCTCAGTTTATCAGTTTCCAACGAACTATTTTCTTTATCTTGTTCAATCTTTAATTTCATTTTGTTTGTTGAAGGTTGCTTCGACTAATATTGCAAAGAAGAAAAAAATTTCATAGAAATAAAAGTCAGTTCGATTTATGTTTAAAAACGAATTGAAATTTACATCGACTGAAATAAACATTTGTGATTAATATTTGATCTTTCCTTTCATAAACATAAACGGAATGTCTTGATCTATTATAAAAAAATTTTTCCAAAATTTCTTTAAGATAAAGATCATTTTGGGAAAAATATTCCAAAGGAATAACTAATTTCCAAGTATTTTCATGAGAAATTCCAAGTAAACTTTTCCAACCTCTTCGAGCATATAATGGAATTGCTAATTTAAATCCATTATTTAAAACTATGACTAATTTTGTATGTAAACCTCTTTCATTGAGACCTCGATGAGAAAATTTTTCTAATGTAATTTTTTGTAGTGGAGATATTACAGTTGGTTGTAAAGAACCATTTTCATAATGAAATGCTATTTGTGGACCTCGTTCAAAACCAGTGTGAGAAACTGATTCTGATAAAAATTCATCTTCATCAATAATCATATTGTCAATAACTTGAAAATTCCATTTTGCATGATATATATTTTTAAAAAAATATCCATTTTGTCCTAAATGATTTTGTCCTTGAACTCTTAATTGCCGATTATTTTGTCCCCAGCCTATTTGAAGAATAGAAATATTTTTAGTTAAACGAGCTTTTTCATCTAAAAGTATCGAAGGTTGTTCAATCCAATCCTCACTAGGAATAATTCGAATTAATGGAATAATATTATTTTGATTATATGTAGCTCTTAATGCTGGATTTGATCCAATAGAATCAAAATCAGCAAATCGTGTAAATATTTTATTGACTTCTTTTCCGTATTCATTTCTTGCTCTTTGAATAAGAAATACTGTCGATGCACTAGCTGCTAATGTTTCAGCTTTAAATTGTCCATCTTCTGGTGTTGTTAATTCATTATCAAATTTGTTTTGTAACCATGGATCAGCAAAGAATATTCTTGTTCCATCTTCATTTAAAATATAAATCGTTGTGACACCAACGTATGGATCCGGATGCTTTTTTCCGTTCATATCTGTGTAATACATTGTATCATGTCCTTTATGTGACATAACAATGCTTCGATAATGTGGAAGAGATTTTAAAATAGGATTTTTAAATAGATTGACAATAAGTGA